CCCCAAAACCCCAAAACCCCAAAACCCCATGGAAGGTACATAAGATAGATATGCAATTAAAGAAATAAGGATCTCAAAATTTGTAAATATTTATTACAGTTTGTTAGGAGTCTATCCATACATAAATAACAATTTACAACCAAGTGAAATGGAATCTGAAAACTAAGAAAGTTAGGCACAGCTTAAAAAACCAAGAGAAGTCGACTTCAGAGCACGCAAGTTCCCTGTAGACAACTTTGTTGAGTGCTTGAATGTTGATGGTGTCTCTAAACTCCATACCTACAGATGGCCAGTTGATGGTACTAGTGCTGAGAAGCCGCCTAAAGCAGTTATCATAATGTTTCATGGATTTGGCTCATATGTAGGCAAGTACACCCACATGGCTCACATTTTTGTGGAAAGAGGATATGAAGTGTGCGGACTTGACTGCATGGGATTTGGGAATAGTGAAGGCATAAGAGGATTTATTAAGGATCAGGGCGAATTTCAAAGAGATGGCTTCAACTTCGTTGTCAAGGCTAAGAATTTCTACAATGAACTGTACGGAGGAAAAAAAGTGCCAATGATAGGCTGGGGCTACAGTTAGGGAGGGAAACTAGTTTTAGGAATTTAGGAGTTGCTTCAAAATGAGTTATAAGATTCATTCGAAGGCATGATTCTCAATACTCCAAATCTCAAGGTAGATACCAGCCACTTAGATGAGGATTTCATGAAAATGCTCAGTGAAATCTCTGATCCTCTCCAAACTATCCCTTGGCCATTCAAGCCACTCAAAGATAGTGATTTCCTTTTGGGTTATGTGAAGGACGAGCTTTAATTCCTGGGGCCTCATTACGGCAAAACATATTATGAAAATATAGAAATACAGTAGCATATTAAGGACAACTATAAGAACATCACAGTTCCAGTTTAATTAGTGATGGCCAAAGGAGACTCAGTGCTCATTAATGACGATATGGTCTAGATGATGGAATCACTGTCAACTCCTGAAGACAAAAAAGAGATTAAAGTCTATGAGGGAGATCATTATATAATGGTAGATGGTTGGCTCTATGAGGAAATTATTACTAATCAAATAAATTTTCTCGATAGAGTCCTTCAATGATTTGAATTTATTTTAAACACAGCTATTAATTACACAGTATTAAAAAGTCTCTGATCTAAATGCTGGGGTTTTGGGGTTTTGGGGTTTTGGGGTTTTGGGG